CGTTCCTGTTACTTTTCTCTCTTTCTCTCAGCAAACTATCATTAGGGTTCATATAGCAGACCTTTTGAGACAAAGTTACGGGTTTCTACCACTGTAGGTCACCTTTCACTAAGTCTCTGTGGCGCAATCGGTTTGCGCGTTCGGCTGTTAACTGAAAGGTTGGTGGTTCAAGCCCACCCAGGCACGAATTAGGCATTTTGCTGCCTTGCAACTGCTAACACATGCACTGGACATAGATCCTGGGCCACATTCTGTCCAGCGTTACAAGATGAAATCAGGATTTAGCAGAATATTGTCACGGGTAGGGAAGGTATTACTGTTAACAGTGTCTAGTTCTAGTGGGGAGTCCTCATCTGCCTGGCTAGCTCAGTCGGTCGAGCATGATACACTTAATGTCAAGGTCGTGGGTTCGAGCCCCACGTTGGGCGTTTCTGTTACTTTTCTCTCTCTCTCTCAGCAAACTTACATTAGGGTTCATATAGCAGACCTTTTGAGACAAAGTTCCGCGTTTCTACCACTGTAGGTCACCTTTCACTAAGTCTCTTTGGCGCAATCGGTTAGCGCGTTCGGCTGTTGACTGAAAGGTTGGTGGTTGAAGCCCACCCAGGCACGAATTAGGCATTTTGCTGCCTTGCAACTGCTAACACGTGCACTGGACATAGATCCTGGGCCACATTCTTTCCAGCGTTACAAGACGAAATCAGGATTTAGCAGAACATTGTCACGGGTAGGGAAGGTATTACTGTAAAGAGTGTTTAGCTCTTAAAAGTTCATCTCATCAGCCCGGCTAGCTCAGACGGTTGAGCATGAGACTCTTAATGTCAGGGTCGTGGGTTCGAGCCCCACGTTGGGTCTTCCTGTTACTTTTCTCTCTCTCTCCCAGCAAACTTACATTAGCGTTCATGTAGCCGACTTTGAGACAAAGTTACGCGTTTCTACCACTGTAGGTGACTTTTCACTAAGTCTCTGTGGTGCAATCGGTTAGCGCGTTAGGCTGTTAACTGAAAGGTTGGTGGTTGAAGCCCACCCAGAGACGAATTAGGCATTTTGCTGCCTTGCAACTGCTAAACCGTGCACTGGGCATATATCCTGGGCCACATTCTGTCCAGCGTTACAAGACGAAATCAGGATTTAGCAGAAGATTGTCACGGGTAGGGAAGGTATTACTGTAAACGGTTTCTGGTTCCTAAAAGAGCTTCTCATCAGCCCGGCTAGCTCAGTCGGTAGAGCATGAGACTCTTAATCTCAGGGTCGTGGGTTCGAGCCCCACGTTGGGCGTTCCTATTACTTTTCTCTCTCTCTCCCAGCAAACTTACATAAGGGTACATGTAGCAGACTTTGAGACAAAGTTACGCGTTTCTACCACTGTAGGTGACTTTTCACTAAGTCTCTGTGGCGCAATCGGTTAGCGCGTTCGGCTGTTAACTGAAAAGTTGGTGGTTCAAGCCCACCCAGGGACGAATTAGGCAGTTTGCTGCCTTGCAACTGCTAACACATGCACTGGACATAGATCATGGGCCACATTCTGTCCAGCGTTACAAGATGAAATCAGGATTTAGCAGAAGATTGTCACGGGTAGGGAAGGTATTACTTGTAACAGTGTCTAGTTCTAGTGGGGAGTCCTCATCTGCCTGGCTAGCTCAGTCGGTCGAGCATGATACACTTAATGTCAGGGTCGTGGGTTCGAGCCCCACGTTGGGCGTTTCTGTTACTTTTCTCTCTCTCTCTCAGCAAACTTACATTAGGGTTCATATAGCAGACCTTTTGAGACAAAGTTCCGCGTTTCTACCATTGTAGGTCACCTTTCACTAAGTCTCTGTGGCGCAATCGGTTAGCGCGTTCGGCTGTTAACTGAAAGCTTGGTGGTTGAAGCCCACCCAGGGACAAATTTGGCATTTTGCTGCCTTGCAACTGCTAAACCGTGCACTGGGCATATATCCTGGGCCACATTCTGTCCAGCGTTACAAGACGAAATCAGGATTTAGCAGAACATTGTCACGGGTAGGGAAGGTATTACTGTAAAGAGTGTTTAGCTCTTAAAAGTTCATCTCATCAGCCCGGCTAGCTCAGTCGGTAGAGCATGAGACTCTTAATGTCAGGGTCGTGGGTTCGAGCCCCACGTTGGGTCTTCCTGTTACTTTTCTCTCTCTCTCCCAGCAACCTTACATTAGCGTTCATGTAGCAGTCTTTGAGACAAAGTTACGCGTTTCTACCACTGTAGGTGACCTTTCACTAAGTCTCTGTAGCGCAATTGGTTAGCGCGTTAGGCTGTTAACTGAAAGGTTGGTGGTTCAAGCCCACCCAGGGACGAATTAGGCATTTTGCTGCCTTGCAACTGCTAACACGTGCACTGGACATAGATCCTGGGCCACATTCTGTCCAGCGTTACAAGATGAAATCAGGATTTAGCAGAAGATTGTCACGGGTAGGGAAGGTATTACTGTTAACAGTGTCTAGTTCTAGTGGAGACTCTTCATCCGCCTGGCTAGCTCTGTCGGTAGAGCATGAGACTCTTAATGTCAGGGTTGTGGGTTCGAGCCCCACGTTGGGCATTTCTGTTACTTTTCTCTCTCTCTCTCAGCAAACTTACATTAGGTTTCATATAGCAGACCTTTTGAGACAAAGTTCCGCGTTTCCACCACTGTAGGTGACTTTTCACTAAGTCTCTGTGACACAATCGGTTAGCGCGTTCGGCTGTTAACTGAAAGGTTGGTGGTTCAAGCCCACCCAGGGACGGATCAATCATTTTGATGCCTTGCAACTGCTAACACATGCACTGGACAAAGATCCTGGGCCAAATTCTGTCCAGCGTTACAAGATGAAATCAGGATTTAGCAGAATATTGTCATGGGTAGGAAAGGTATCACTGTTAACAGTGTCTAGACAAAGTTCCGCGTTTCTACCACTGTAGGTGACCATTCCCTAAGTCTCTGTGGCAACATTATGAAGCTGCAGGCCCCGAGACCCAACCGCACGCTCAGACCTGCTCGCTCAGACCAGCACTTCCAGACCTATCATTTTCTCAGACAGTGCCACCTGCTGTTGGAAAAATTGCCTAACCTGAATTGATTGATTTATAAATTTTAAATTACACTATTTTTCTACTATAAAATATTGCACTATGATTGAATACATTATTATATAAAATATTAAACATACTAGATTATGATTTAATGCATTAAGTCTGTTGTATTTTAATTAACTGTATTTGTAAATAGATATTGTTCAGTTACTTAAATATTTTCAGTCATTTATTGTTTTTGTTTTTTGTTTTTAAATCATTAAGGATTTATCAAACTCTTTAGTATTGAGTTGAGGGAATGAACATTATCTTATTATTCACAGAATAAATGATAGTACTCGGAGTAATTTTCTCACATCAAACTTTATTTTTTTTATAAATTTTCATGAGGTCCTACAAGTCATCGAGCTGTAAAAAATGCAGAGAAAAATTGTGAAAAACAATACTTGGATTAATAATGTATTTATTACATATAAAATAAAATAAAATGCTTTACATTCTTGTTGGGGAGATTTTTCATTTCTCGAGCAATTCTTCTGTTAAATTCCTCAACTTCACTAAAAAAAATAAATAAATGCTGTTGTCAGAAATTGTGTTTAACATAAAAACTTAACAGCTTTTGTACAATAAAATGTAAACATACCTTGCGTGATAAATGGGGCCCTGGAGGAAGACATCTTCAGCCTCCTGCCAAGACAAGCCTTGTAACTCGGAAATGCCATGAGTTATGGCCTGTACAAACATACAGATAAACCAATTAATAAAATAAAACACACACTGCAGAACATAAGCATGCTCATGTACATACATGTTTTGTGATTACCTCTGGGAGGAGACATCCACAAATGAACTCCACCTCATCATTGAAGGTCAGCTGTGTTTTGGTTTGATTAAGAATTCCTCTGATGTAGTCATAAATGATTGACTGGGACTGCTCATTCTCAATGAAGACAGGCACTTGAGAACGGGGTTTAGTGGAAACCAATTTGACCTTTTCCCACTGAGTATATCCTTTGGGCCATAGAAGGAAATTATATTTCATATGTAAATGCACAAGTAATTAATTATATTTGGCAAATAATAGTCAAATTGTCACTTGACTATATTTAAGTCAACCATACTCAGAGTCTAGAGGAGTAATTTAAAGTGGAACCATCTATACCACCAAATGCTGCTCTGGTGATTTTGATGTGATAATCAAGTCCACTAATCTTTTGTCATTCCTTTCCCAATCTTGAACTGCTTGGACATGTGCCGGAAGATTGGATGTGGTTTTTCTTTTCACCCTAAAAAGGAGCAGAATTTTTCCATCCAAGACACTTCTTGCCTTCTCAGTCCAGAAAGCAAATCTGTGCCCATAGCTTTTAATAACAAGACAAGACAAAATCCATAATTACTGTGTAACGTGGAGACTGACACGGAGGGATCCATTATGCAATATTTATTAATCACAACTTCACTCAAACACACAATATGCACCGGAGTGCACACACACATCCACAGTAGTAGTATGGGTATCAAGACTGATGATGAACAGACACAGAGTGAGTTACCAGGCATGAGTGGAAGGGAGTGAGCGAGAACCAGGATCTGTTATGCAGGCTTGGGTCAAGGGCAGGCAGCAAGGATCAGAGTCCGTATAACAGGCGTGGTTCGTGGGCAGGCAGAGAGAGAGTCAGAGTCCGTATAACAAGCATGGGTCGTGGGCAGGCAGAATGCGAAGCAAAGTAAGAGACAGGCTGGAGTCGTGCACAGGAGATCAGGCTGGAGATCATGCTCAGAAATGCTGGCCGGGGCTAAACAAGACTTCGCCCTGATCGAGTGTTTGAGTGCGGCTTATAAGAGGTACGTGGGTCATTAGCCAGATTCCAATCAGGTGTATGCGCAATCAGTGTAGATGGATGACGTAATGCTAAAAGTCCGGAGATGGTGGCCTCTGCTGGCCAGTGAGGGGAGTTACTGGGACCGAGTCGGTGAAATACTGGTCACTGGTAAGAGAGATTTTAAGTATGTTTTGTTATTCATGTTACAAGTTGTTGTATTGACACAATATAAATTTTTAATTTTACAGATTTACAAGAAAAATAAATAAATACTGACATACCCATCAGTTTGAAATTGTTCCATGAGTAGAAGGCACCACCACTGACGGATGATAGGTATATCCATCTGAAAGAAAGACTGTTTAGTCTGACAGTTAACCAACATGTTTTTGTTAATACATGAAGTTGGGTGAGCTTGCAATAACCATGCCCCTTTTTTTAAAAGATATGTTGCTTAGAAGAAAGCAAGATAATATACACTAAAATAGTTACATTTTAACTATGATTTAAAAAAGCACCAACAAAATAAAGTTACATAAATAATAAAATAATACCTCCTGGAATTGAAACCCAATGCCACACACCATTGAGAGGGTGTACTGAAAAGAGAGAAGCCACAGTCATTTACAATGTTTACAAAATCTTTAAATCAATTAACTCAATTTATATCTTACCATGAGTACAAAAACACCACAATCATTCCCTCTTGTCTGACGTGGCAAAGCCTAAAATAGGCAAAGCAAATCAATTTTATTTTAGAATAATGTACAAAAAATTTAATTGTTGTAAAAGCCAAATAATAATTTTTTAAAGTTGATTCCTCACTGGAAAATCATATCCAGTCTTTTCAGACCATGTCCCATGATCCACTTGGTAAGCAATTTTCCTGTAAACAAAACATAGTCGTAATACTAACAATTACAGCTCACCTCAACTCTAGAACACCATGCATAAAAAAGGCTAGATGAACATACAGTAGCCAGAAGTTTATGAAACGGCTATAGTAACGTAGCCAAAAGTGGCAGAACTATAATACACGGTTAGGAAATAAATAGAAATGGCTATAGGAACGTAGCCATATATCACATAAAGGCTGAAACATGTCTTAGTTTATTGATAGACCTAAAAATTGCCCTGTATTCCTCATCTCCAAATCCTGATTCATGCTCTGCGTACAGAGAGTCTAAAAACACCATCTCTCTTCGAAGCGGCATCATTATCTACAATGTTAAAGGTGTAAAAATATTTCATTTGAACATTATTGCTTCTTCCAAGATTTTTCAGTGTTTTATTTTAGAAACACACACATTGCAATACCAATTAATGTATGCACTAGACATTTCAACATTTTCTTACACAGACAACAAAGTGGTCTGGTCCATTGGCATTTGTCCATGCTGGAAAGGCTAACAGGTTTTTCAAGTCTGCATCTTCCTAGAATTGATCAGGACAGTTATGTCGTTTAATTTAGGTTGTACTTCTCACACAGTAAATACAGTACATACACGCACCGGTAATCCAGTAACAATGTTGTTAGGAGTTTCTTTCCACACAGGGAAAACATAAAAGTCCTCAATGTATATGTCCTTGCCCTACATGAATAAAAAGAAACTGTTGACAATGACATGAACATTTTCACACAGTTTAGAAATTGTTTTTTTTTTTATTTTATTTGGATCAAGTTAAAACAATCTATATAAATATTATGTTTTATAGTACATACAATTTGTCGAGCCATTTTACAAATAAGCTTCATGCAGGCGTTTCCAATCTGCAATAAATACTTTGATAAGTCAATGTTTTTAATAAAAAAAAAGTTATAATAAAAAAACAGACTGCTTACATGGAAGTCCATGTCCCTCAACAATCCAAGGCTCCAAAATTCTTCTCGAATAAGGCACACTTGCCCCTCCTTCACAATTATTTCACTGCCAGGGCGATTTCGGTCCAGCACATAATCAAGCTGTAATAATAATAACATTAAATATGTGTGTGTGTGTGTGTGTGTGTGTGTGTGCATTTATATGTAATGGTAATTGTTCACCAGTTTCTCTTGTAATGGATGCCAGTCCCTCTCCCAAGGCTTAGTAGGTTCCAAAAAATTCAGAAGAGTGGTAGGTTCACAAGCTGTTTTTTCTGTAATTGGTACTGATGACAGAGGAGATGTGACTGATGTTATGCCTGGTGATGCAGCGGTCGTTTGTAAAGTCACAATATTTTCTGGCAGTGCTGTCAGTGGACCTTAGAGTACATTAAAGCATCAAAATTTGAAAATAACACATAATAATTAGAGAACAGAAACTTGACACTGAGGAACTGGAAATAACAGTCAAATTACCAAGTGACATGTCCATTCATTTCTCTGTGGAGGATGGATTTTCTATAAATACAAATATACACATAAGTACAGTTATGGATATAGTGATGTATTTGTTATAAAGTAAGGGAAACATTACCTAACACAACCTGGCTGTGGTCATTCATGTGAATGTTTGTGTTGAATTCCTTTTTTATGTCATGAAGACGTTTCTCGTTTTTTCTGACATTGTAATGGTGGATGATGTTTCGCATGAGGAAAACATGTGTGGATGGCAATGCCATGTTCATAAAGTAGTTATTTGTCTTTAGCTTTGAAAAAAGCTGTTCTGCAGCCTGACTGTTAACTTTGCCAGCACAAGACGAAGCTTCCTCAGTGAATCACGAGGATCTTTTGTGTTGTCTTCGTGAAAGCGGTCATACAGAACATAGTGTTCTGCAGAACCAGTTATTGGATGACCATCCGGATCTGGACTTTGCTTTTTTGCAGTGAGCCATGGCAGTTACCTGTAATTTTCCTGATTTTGCTTTTGCAATATTTTCAGTGGTTGGTTCGAGTAACCTTCCCTCGAAAGGTGTGAAAGTTATGGGTTGCCTCAAATTTGTGTGGGTGGACAGTCCACGGGCAAAGTCATAAACAACAACATTAGGCAGATGCTTCCAAGACAGAAGCACATCTGCAAAATCCCGTGGACTTTCTGCTCGCAGATTACATTTTATACTGTAAACTATGCCACAAGGACACATAATGACAGCCCAACCTCCTGGAACAGACAAAAAAGATAAGCAAATAGTTAAGAAAACATAATCAAATCCCATTAATGACATTGGGACTTAAATGACCATAGGTTATGATGGAGGGCAGTGGCATTAACCTTAACAAAGTATACTTTTAAAAAATTTAAAGATGCAGTGCCTCAGTGATGTAAATACACTCCCCCACACGGAAAGCAACAATAGGTGTCAGACGAGGCCACCTCCAACACCCCCCCAGAGCTGTACACCACCAGTCACTCCCCAATCAGTGCCAAGCAGAAAACAGGACCCATTATGTCTATGTGACTTTGTACATTTCTGATTTATTTGTAATATTTTAATGTGCAACATTGAGGTTTACCTGAAGCAGCCCAAATCTTTTCAAAAACCTTGTCATAGGCCTCCCTTGACCTCATCTCCTCCGAAAGTCGCAGGAGTAGATCTGTGCGAGAGCCTTTGGCATCTAAACCACACTCTTGACACAGTCTTCTTATCACTCCCACCTATCACATAAAACACACATGTTAAATGAAATGCTAACACTGACAAATAATACATATAATTAGCATTATATATTTAACTTTCTGTTTTGAAAGTTTGTCCTTTAAGCGATCTTCAGAGACAGTTATTTCTGTTCGTTCTGCAGTTTTTGCTTTGTGCACTTTCTCAAATTCAGTGTTGAGAACAACATTCGCTATATGAGTCTTACTCCCGATCCAGGGTGCCCAAAAGTTGTAACTAGGTGTAACACAAAATGGATTGTTTTTTTGACCTTTAGGACAAACAAACATGTTAATACATCAGTGAATTTAGATTGTACTCCTGAAAACACTTATGAAATTAAATAATGATGACATGCCATTCCTGATATAATAAATTTCCTTACTTGAAAAAATCCTCGAGCAATTCGTTCTTCTGTCAGTGCCTTCCAAAACATATCTAAATCCACCTCTCCATTAAAATCTTGTGGAGGCTGTGAAAGATCACGCACTAAAGAAAATAAATACATACTATAAACTTACTAATAGTTTTACTAATAAGACTTACCTCTCTGCAGTAAAAAGGAAAGATATTTACCAGAGAGATGAAAGGATGCCTTCTTGTGGAGGTCCATTATGACCACAGGTGGATGGTCACCACAAGATACACATGAATACTCGTATTCATGGTCAGTTAGGGCCTCAAAATGCAGATAGCCGTGGAGAAGAGTAACTGCTGAGGGGAACTGTACACCTGTAGTTACCTCCAAGTACTCCACTACTCTGCTGACTGCTGTATGCACCTATGATAAAGAAATCACAGTTAATCAGTACTTATATAGGCAAGGCAAGGCAAGTTTATTTATATAGCACATTTCATACACAATGGTAATTCAAAGTGCTTTACATAAACAAGAATAAAAGAGACAAGTATAAGAAAATAAAAACAAAGAATAAAAATGATTTAAAAAAACAGTTAAAAACAGAAAACATAATAGTGTGAACTGTCGGACGTAGCACAGTGCTCATTCAGTAAAGGCACAGCTAAACAGATGTGTTTTAAGTCTTGATTTGAATGTGCCTAATGTTGCCTAACATAAAATCAACACTATGAAGAAATCCTATTGTTGTTAAAAATATTATATTGTATAACATATAATATATGTATTGTATAACGATTACCTGCAACAGGTTTCTTATGGTGAGGCAGAGAGAGAGTTCAAGCAGGACATGGTCATTGAAGTTATGCAAACCATTAGCCCACTCTTGGTAACGGTACATCATTCCACAGAAAGGACATAATTTGTAGTAGGTTGAAATATCTGCAGATACAGAATGTAAAAAAAATGGTTTAGTATCTTTTTCATAATTAAAATAAAATAAAATATGTAAGTAACAATTATCAACCTTGGACAATTCCTGTAGTTGTAAGAATTTTCGCTTTACGTGTAATGCAGACAGGATCACTGAGCAATGTGCGGTCTGAGCAGTGGTAGCACATTGTCTCATCAGGGATTAGGTGTTTTGGAAATTCCTTATAGTCTGAAGAAAGCCTCAAATGACTGGGAATAGTAGATGGTAGCTTTTTATTCATTAAGATGTATTCTACTATGCTCTTTACTTTAGCAATGTCCTTTGGAGGGTAATTCTCACTTTCATCACTTTCCTCCATCGCTGCTGCCTGAAATTCTTCAGCGCTTTCAGTGCTCCGAACTTTTCGGAAGAGTTCAGGGTGAATTTGAAAGAGGTGCCATTTTGCTATGTATTTATGGGTACATGATCTCTGGGTTTTTGCATAGGGACAGTGCCATGAATTCTTCTTGGTGTCATATGATACCATGACTCTGCCCAGTCTACTATAATATGATATATTAGGCTCGTAGACCGATATGAACCTTTTTGTTGGTGGGACTCCAATCTTGGATTCAACTGCCAGCTGTCGGTGGTTTGCCGTCTCAGGAATGTCAGGTGCTTGCAGCAGGAGGTTGTTTCGTTAGCGCTTCCGCTTTCGTTAGTGAAGTTCTTTTGCGGAACGTTTGTAGATCCCGTCGTGTTCTTCAAGCTATGTCGTTTGAGCACTGTGCTGATAGGCTGACGTAAGAAAACAGGACACAAAATATACAAGGCAAAAGTGCAAAGCACGGAGCTCTAGGCAAAGGCGGTCCGAACCGCAGCAAAGCAGGAGGTCGACATGTCCAAATAGACCAAATCAGAAACTAAGCAGAGAAAAACGGCATCTGTACAGAAAGAAAACAGATGGAACAGGTGGTTTGCAAGCACAGGTACGTCTGCTGCAAGTACAGCGCCGTCAGGAGACAGGGGTTGCTGGCCCATTCCCCAAGCTCGGTGGCTGGACATCACCGTCCTGGAGTACGGCCGATAGAAAACGGCGGCTGACGGCTGAATTTTTGAAAAAGAACAAAAAATGAAATATTTTTTAAAAATAACAAAAAATCAAATTTTTTTTAAAAAATAAAAAAATCGAAATTTTTTGAAAAATAACAAAAAATAAAAAAAATTTGAAAAATCACCAAAAAATGAATTTTTTGAAAAATCACCAAAAATGAAAATTTATGAAAAATCACAAAAAATGAAAAATTTTTGAAAAAATAACAAAAAATGAAATTTTTTTGAAAAATCACCAAAAATTTATTTTTTTTGAAAAATCACCAAAAATGAAAGTTTTTCGAAAAATAAAAAAATGAATATTTTTTGAAAAATCGCAAAATATGAAAATTTTTTGAAAAATCGCAAAAAATCACTTAAATGAAAATTTTTTGAAAAATCACAAAAAATGAACATTTTTTGAAAAATCACAAAAAATGAAAATTTTTTGAAAAATCGCAAAAAATCACTAAAATGAAAATTTTTTGAAAAATCACAAAAAATGAACATTTTTTGAAAAATCACAAAAAATGAAATTATTTTGAAAAATCGCAAAATATGATTTTTTTTGAAAAATCGCAAAAAATCACAAAAAATGAAAAATATTTGAAAAATAACAAAAAATTAAATTTTTTTGAAAAATCACAAAAATGAACATTTTTTGAAAAATCGCAAAATATGAAATTTTTTTGAAAAATCGCAAAAAATCACAAAAAATGAAAAATTTTTGAAAAATCACAAAAAATGAAATTATTTTGAAAAATCGCAAAATATGATTTTTTTTTTGAAAAATCGCAAAAGATGAAAATTTTTTGAAAAATCACAAAAATGAACATTTTTTGAAAAATCGCAAAAGATGAAAATTTTTTGAAAAATCGCAAAAAATCACAAAAAATTAAAAAATTTTGAAAAATCACAAAAAATGAAAATTTTTTGAAAAATCACAAAAATGAACATTTTTTGAAAAATCGCAAGATGAACATTTTTTGAAAAGTCGCATAAAATCACAAAAAATGAAAATTTTTTGAAAAATCGCAAAAAATCACAAAAATTGAAAATTTTTTGAAAAAACACAAAAAATTTAATTTTTTTTAAAAATCGCAGAAAATCACAAAAAATGAAATTTTTTTGAAAAATCGCAAAATATGACATTTTTTTGAAAAATCACAAAAAATGAAAATTTTTTGAAAAATCGCAACAAATCACAAAAATGAAAGTTTTTTAAAAAATCACAAAAATGAACATTTTTTGAAAAATCGCAAAATATGAAATTTTTTTGAAAAATCGCAAAAAATCACAAAAAATGAAAAATTTTTGAAAAATCACAAAAAATGAAATTATTTTGAAAAATCGCAAAATATGATTTTTTTTTTAAAAATCGCAAAAAATCACAAAAAATGAAAAATATTTGAAAAATAACAAAAAATTTAAATTTTTTGAAAAATCACAAAAATGAAAATTTTTTGAAAAATCGCAAAATATAAAATTTTTTTGAAAAATCGCAAAAAATCACAAAAAATTAAAAATTTTTGAAAAATCACAAAAAATTACAATTTTTTGAAAAATCACAAAAATGAACATTTTTTGAAAAATCGCAAAAGATGAAAATTTTTTGAAAAATCACAAAAATGAACATTTTTTGAAAAATCGCAAAAGATGAAAATTTTTTGAAAAATCGCAAAAAATCACAAAAAATTAAAAAATTTTGAAAAATCACAAAAAATGAAAATTTTTTGAAAAATCACAAAAATGAACATTTTTTGAAAAATCGCAAGATGAACATTTTTTGAAAAGTCGCATAAAATCACAAAAAATGAAAATTTTTTGAAAAATCGCAAAAAAATGAAAAATTTTTGAAAAATCACAAAAAATCACAAAAATTGAAAATTTTTTGAAAAAACACAAAAAATTAAATTTTTTTTAAAAATCGCAGAAAATCACAAAAAATGAATTTTTTTTGAAAAATCGCAAAATATGACATTTTTTTGAAAAATCACAAAAAATGAAAATTTTTTGAAAAATCGCAACAAATCACAAAAATGAAAGTTTTTTGAAAAATCACAAAAAATGAACATTTTTTGAAAAATCACAAAAAAATGAAATTATTTTGAAAAATCGCAAAATAAGATTTTTTTTTGAAAAATCGCAAAAAATCACAAAAAATGAAAAAAATTTGAAAAATAACAAAAAATGAAAATTTTTTGAAAAATCACAAAAATGAACATTTTTTGAAAAATCGCAAAATATGAAATTTTTTTGAAAAATCACAAAAAATGAAAATTTTTTGAAAAATCACAAAAAATTAAAAATTTTGGAAAAATCACAAAAATGAACATTTTTTGAAAAATCGCAAAAGATGAAAATTTTTTGAAAAAATCTTGAAAAATCATAAAAAAATCTTGAAAAATCACCAAAAATCATGAAAAATGAAAAATTCACCAAAAATCATGAAAAATTATCTGTACAAACAGTAAAAAATATGTAGTGCAAAAAAAATGACAGTGCAAATACAACGACAGTACAAATAACAGACAAATAAAATGACAATGTGAAATTGACAGCGATATGTACAATGAATAGGTGTCCACATAGTTGTAGGCAGTGTTGTTTCAAGTATGGATTGGCTAAAAGTCAGTGCATGCTACATATTGATGTTGTGCAGTGAGGGTATGGAAGAGTCTGTGTGTTGTGTATTAAGTGTTCATCACCCTGATAGTCTGAGGGAAGAAATTTTTCTTTAGCCGGCTGGTGCGTGACCAGATGCTGCGGAACCATCTGCCTGAGGGTAGCAGACGGTTTTATCTGTATAATTGTACATGTTAAACTAATTTAAATTAGAAGTCCACTAAATGTTCATTAACTAAAGTCACAGCAAAAGGTGCTGCAATTAATGTAGAAATGCCAAAGTTCCACTGCTTTTTCTGTGACAACTGTAGGGCTCGTCCAGGGATTGAACCCAGGACCTTTCGCATCCTAAGCGAGAATCATACCCAACGAGCCCTGAAGAAAGACCCTGCAGTGCCAAAAAAAATTCTTACTTTTTTATAAATACTTTTTGTTCTTGTTGTTTTTAGTATGTGCCACCTGGGTTGCCTTTGATGCAGTTCCTTTTAAGTTGGCTGTGCAGCACAATCCAGTGTGACCTTCAAAAGCTAGGTTCATACCCGTAGGTCAAAAAGACATGACAATGGAAAACTCTTCA